AAACGTCACAGAGCTTTGCTGTCAATCTGTTACGACAGTGTTATAGTGTTTTTAGTAGGTTTTTACAGTAAACAGTGGATACTACTAAATGATGACCATTTAAAAAAGAAATTTGAAAAAAAACTATTTGTTTCATGTTGCAGCTTACGGCACAGTAACAAACGAAACTTAAAAATATGCGGTGTTGTTTTTGAGCACTAATAGTCTGATCAAAGTTATATCGGATTACTATGGGTTATTCGGAAAGTTCTGCCAATTTTTCACAAACAAGGCTTCCTCAGCAAAGTGATCAAAATTCAAGTGCACTCTCCTAAAGTTTCAGCAAGGAATTCTTTTCACTTTCCAGAAGTCTATGCATTGATTTAAATTCCTTTCGCACCTTAGCGCTTCTGTCAGAGATAAAGCGATAACCTTGATTAAAGAAGTTTTCCCACAAGACAGCCTTTCCTTTAAATCCTCAAATTTTCTAGTGCTATAAATTTCCATTAATTATTTAATCTTTTCCTTAAATAACGCGGAGTCGTAAAACGCCCCTCAGCCTCACTTTGAAACCGCCGTCACTTTTTTTCACGTGCCTAAAAACCCTTGTAATGAATCCAAAGGTTTTGATACTACAAGGCTTTTTTAAAAGTGAAGCGAAAATCTGGTAAATACCCGAGCGCTACTGGATACTTTTCCGGGAGTAGGCGGAATTTAGCAAAGTGACTCATTGTGCTACAATATTAGGGTAGTAGAGTCTCCAAAAGATGAACAAACGAGGAAAAACACAGATCCCCAGAGCTCCAAGCTATGAAGCGGAAACCACCTGTCCGGGTAACTTACCCGGGGCGATTGACACATACCGCCCAAGATCTAAATGTTAACAAACCTGGATGAATGATCTTCTCGTGCTTGTTTCTATATTGACGAGGCTTTTAAAGACAATTTTTGATCATACAGCTAATTTTTTTATTCATCCTTGAGGAAAAAAATCAGATTTGCAAGGGCGCATATTCTGCGACTTTAGAATTTCTCGATGCTTAACTCAATATGATAAAAAAGTACCAAGGTTTAAAAAAATAATCTATAGTTCAGATTTGATATCAACTTGTATGTTGATGTAGCAGTTACTTGGCTTTTGTCGTAATTTGAAGCAAGATCAAGTTATGCAAATCTACATGAAATTTCTCACTTTAGTAAGCTAATTGCAAAATTTCAACTGTCAGATTTATTTTCTCAACACCTCAGCCTGTAAAATCAAGTATCCCTCACAACAAATTTTTTCTTCGCCATGAGCCCTACTAAATCATAAATAATAATATTTGCTACAGATCTTTGAATTACTTAGGATCTTACAGCTTGTGAGATCGGAATGACGTTGAAAGTGTATTTGTTTTTATGTGGGTCTTGTTTTCTGCCAAGACCAAGACAACTAGAAATCCAAACTCCTCCCAAACTTCTATTTATTTGATTTGGTGAGCGGATCGTGAAAATGACCTGAAAGACACGTGCCATGCGCACATGCGTATCCCGTGAGAATCATCTTGCAAGTCTCAGGAGAGAACTGGTCCGGGGGCTATTTATAAGGTACAAAAACATTTTCCGGCTAAAATAATCTACCATAAACTGTGCCTGTAAAGGGAATTCCTTATCAGAAAATAGAAGCCTCCACTCGGAAAATTAGCCCAATTTTATTAGGATCGCCTATATGAATTATCATGTGAAAAGTTTTTTTTATTTGTATTGAAGCTGAATACTGAATTTTTATCTACACTAATAGGTCTATAACTAAAAAATGGATAAGTCACAAAACTTCTGCTCGTAGTGACAATTTTTGAAGACGTCGCTATATTTTATGCCCAATTATGTGAAATTTTAGTATCGCACCCCCCCCCCCCTCTCCCTGCAAATTTTTTTCTTTTCGCCCCAGCCTCTCGAAAACAATTTTTGCGTCACTAATGAATGCATAGTAAACGGCCCATCTAGATTTACCACAGATTCGTGACATCATTGTCTCGCCTTGCTATTAGAATTCAGAATGATAGGTGCTGCCCGACAGCAAAAAGTGCAATTTTATGAATTATTCATGGTTTATTTAGGAATTCTGCTAATGCACTTCCTGTAACTCGGGTCTGCAGGATTAAGATATCAAACCTTGACTTACATCACTATGCTCGATCTAATGTGGTAATATCCTCAAAAAAGTTCAGTAAAAAATCAATATTTATGTGAAAAACACATCCACCAATCCCAAAATGTGGGCACTGCGGTAAGATACACTGCTTTTCCACAGCTGATCTCTCTTGTCCCAAACAATTATCCTACTGATACGGGTGCACAAAGAAAGATAAGAACGACCGACGGCTTAGGTGAAAGTGTGACACGACAGCGATTACGAATCTTCTTGGATTACTGGGTTTGCAGACGAACATTTAGCATGATCTGTGATGTCCTGTCAAGCTCATTTAGCAGAGTAAGGAGGTTTAGAGTTGAGAAAAAAGAATTAAACTAGGACCGGAATTTAGAGGAACATCTACAATATTTTGTATTCGTCTAATTTTGTGCATTTTCATGATTCAGATATAAGAAATATGTCACAGATTGTGTTTGATGATTTTCAGCTCAAAAATAAAAAAAAATCACATATTACCTAGCATCTCAGACATGTAGCCAACATCAAACTGCTTTCGAGTAGCTTTGAGAACTGCTTGAGCTTCACACCGAGATTAGTAATTGCTTTATTCGACTGACGTTTCGGCAAAATCGCCTTCTTCAGAGTCTGAAATCGTCAAATGCATGAGTAATCTATCCCATCAAAAACTGCATCACGACTCAGAAAAGACGTCCAATGCGTCAGTAAACTGAGAGCTACGAAAGCAAATACAGAATTAATCCAGTGCTCACCTAAAACAGCTGATGACTGCTTGGCAGCTTTCGAATCTGTTGCTCATGGTTTTTATGAAAGAGTTGTTTACATTTCCTAAAATCAAAGAGTGGAGTTATTAAATAGTGTAATGTAGAGTGAGTTCCTTTGAAAAATAGAAGTCCCCGACCCGGAAAATTAGCTCCAATTTTTTCAGGGAGCCCCTCGATGTTGAGGTTCCAAGTAACAAGGCAAATAAATTATGGAAAAAATCTCTCTCAAACTACTCAGATATTCGTGGTTAAGTTTCGCAATAGTCCGCACACAAAATGAAAATCTCGAAAAAAGGCTAGTCTTGCTCAAAACCCGATTTTGTCCCAAACTTAGGGCCGGACACATAATACGCGATTCCATCGTCCCAGCTTTAAGGTCGGGACATACTCGAGTTTCGAGCAAAGACTAGCCTTTTTTTGAGATTTTCATTTTGTGAGCGAACTCTTGCGCGAATTAAACACGAATATCTGAGTAAGCGCTTACATGTACATCCGCCCGTTCACCTTCCACAAATTACTTCCTTCGTAAAACATAGACATAACTAGATAATACTACTGTAACCTGCGAAAGGTTATTGTCAAGGTCTTTTTCTAGATAATGAGATTTTCACTGTGCGATCAAACAACTTCCGCGTATTGAGGATCTAGTAAGTAAGCCAATACTAATTATTAGTTAATATTGTGAAAAAAAATGACAAATTAAGAATTTACAAAGAAGAAATTCAAGGGATAAAGAAAATGAATTGAGTTTATTTTGAAAATGTTATTTTTCACTTCTGATTGATGTCATTGTTATGAAACATTGCCAAACGGATTTCTTATTAGTATTCCATATTTGCAAAACAGCGTACGCAAGAATTAAGTGCTTTACGCTTGCGTAAAACACCCGCAATCACGCTTACTCGAGCGGGGTTGTAATGAGTAAACAACATAACTTTCTGCCTAGAATTAAATTTCTGTATAAATTTGTTTATCGAAACCTGACTGCTTCGAATTCATAAAAAGCTGAAGAAAGCAAAATTAAAATGATTCTATAATTAATTAAAGGTGAAAGCGCATCATCTAAATCAGAACAGTGGTAGGCTGAATTGCAAGGACCAAATCCCAAGTAAATGACAGCTTGTGAGCATATGAGTCGTGGAATGCGGCGCGTATTGTGCAGTGCACATATCATTTTACCAAAATGAGTCGGTATGAATGGTGAATGGCTGTAGTGTTTTTCTCATCTAATTAAACTTCTCCTATTTTTAGTGTCAAAGGACGCCGGACAAAGTTTATAGACAAAATGAACTATAGTGCAACCAATTCACTCTATTCAACTGCAAAAAACTATCATGAGCCAAAAAAGAAGTTCGCCTTCTTCCCCCCCCCCTCCTTCTCCCCCGCGTCTAGACCCTTTGGCTTGTTCTTCCCAAATGTTATCGATATGGCTCTGATTTACGGTGATTGAATGACGTCTACACATAGACACAAGCCCCGCCCACTCGAGTGCGCGCGGGTTGATTACGGTCGGTCGGTGTGCCCTGTCGGGGGTACATAAGGCAACGCATCGTCTCTAACCCTACTATACGAATCATCGCCTACATCCTACCCTATGGTTAGGTAGCTGTATCTCTAGGGGTGTTAGGACTGGGCGGGGGTGGGGCTTCCCACATCGCCGTGCTTTACGGCTTTTGTTCTCGCTCTCTTACCAGTTGTTGCTTCCATTGTTTAACCATGGTTAGATGGTAACCAGTTCGGTTGATATTGTTCTTAACTTTGTTTGACTATTGTTACTTGCTCATATAGGCCATGTAGTTATGTAAACTGCAAACTGCAATCATAACACATCTTTATAATCTCTTATGTACATTGAGATGTAAAAAATTGCAATTTGTTTAACTCCTCCCCTTTCTCAGCCCTTCTTGATGCTCTGATTTTGTCCTCAACCCCGTTTTCTGCAAAATCCCAAAGATTTAGCAAATTCATTTAGGAAACCCCATCATTTGCTTTTCTCAACCCGCTATCAAGGTCATTTCTCTAAGATTCGTCTTGTTTTTCTTTTTCGCTGTATCTTCCATTGATCCTTTCCGCGAATTTTCCCAATTTTTCCAAATTTCAGCCAGATGTTCGAGGTTTTCACACACGGCATAACTTTTCTAAACCTATTATCATTAGCCGCATTTTTTACAACCGTTGGTCTGTTCTTCTGTGGAATGTGAGTGCAAAATGTTTGCTACGAATCTACGCAAAAAATTCAATGATTTATTATTCCAGACCTATCTGCCGACAAATATGGAAACGGAAAGACACGAAGGAGATTTCTGGCGCACCATTTTTGATGGGAGTTTTAGGGTGAGTTCAAAAATTGTTACGTTGTAAAGAATTTGAAATTTTGGGCAAATGGTCCAAAATAGGTGGGAAACAGGTCTTGGGGTGACTCATTGTTTTGACGGTTAGCTTATCTCTATGATTAGTCCACGGGTCTTCCCAATCTGTTTGAATTGAGATCTCTGCGCAAAGGGTTATTGTAATAAGTGCCCTTTGATCTACCCACTTTCTTATAAGCGCGATTGTTGAGCAAGGGTCACTGTAATACATGCACTTTGATCTATCCAGATCGCCAAAAATGAGATCTCTGAGCCGAGAGTACTGTAATAAATGCCTTTTGATCTACCAGGCTCATCAAATGGGATCATAGTGTAGGGTAGTGTAATAACTGCACTTGTGATTTACCCAATTCCTCAGATCTTCGAGCAAATATTACTGTAATAAGTTCATTTGATCTACCCAATTAGCTAATAAGATCTCTGAGCAAGGATTACTTTAATAAATGCACTTTGACCTACTTAATTCGTCAAAAATGAGATCTTTGAGCAAAGGTTACCGTAATAAATGCCCTTTGGTCTACCAACTTTGCTGAGAATGGGCTCTCTGAGCAAAGATTACTGTAATCAATGCACTCTACAGTAATTCTTTGATGATCTACTATTTTAGAGGTTGCTGCTGGATGACCTATGGTTATCTAAAGAATGATCATACTGTCCTGATTGTGACAGGTTGCCAAGTAACACTTTACTCTATCTACACAGTATTCTACTGGTTTATGAGCAGAGACAAGGTAAGCAATCTTTTTCCTGACACAGCAATTTCTCGCTAGGAAAACTGGTTGATAAGCTAACAGAGAATCCACAACCAGTCCCCCCCCCCGCTTTGGAAAAAGGACTGCAAAACGACATAATCGTCTTGTACTCTCTCTGCGCAAGAAGACATAAGTCTCATTACACATCTTGTTTGCCATCATCGTCCGTCATTCCACCATTGGCGCAAAAACACGTATTGCCTCAAACACAGCAACAAAACAATTAGTAGTAAAGTCTATGTACGAGATACTTTAATAACTTGAACTCTTTTCAGTTGTGGATTACGGTAAAAGTTGGAATTGTGGCGGCAATGTGCACTTCACTAATACTTTCGGTGAAGTTTTTCGGGATGAAAGTGTTTCATCCACTGGGAATTGTTTGTATGACACTTAATATTGCTGATTTTGCTGCTCCACTTGCTGGATTGGTAAGTTAGGGTATTTACTAGGGAAGACTGGTTAGTTACCGCTCTCTCTTTCAGCGGGTTGTTATTCGACGCGGGGCCACCTCGACCCTACCACTACCCCTATGCATCGCAAATTTCATGGTCTCATCCGAGTGGTTCCTCTACGGACTTCTCGTCAAAGACGTCTACCTCATCACACCCAACGGAATCGGCTCATTCCTGGCTTTTTGCCAGCTCTTCCTTTTCGTTCTTCTCCCCCGCAAACCGGGTCAGCGTTCATTATTCACACGAATGTTCGGCTGCTGTGCACCTACCGAAAAAGAAACCGACCTGGAAGCACCGACAAAAGGTTGGTTACGAACGGGTTACGTAGTGATGTCATTCGTAGGATCTGTGTTTACGGCGCTGGATCTAAATCACATCATCCGTGATCCGAATGATGAACGGATAGTGATAATCGATCCTTAATTGGCGCGCAAGAAAAATCTGCACCACTTCCTTTTGCTAACGATCCTTTTGCAGAAATCATTCCCGAAACACCAGAAGAGGATGAGGACTTTGAGCCAAGACATCTTTCACGAGCACAACGTTGGTCGAAGAAGGTGTTATCGAACATGAACACTGTTGCTGAAGAGATCGAGCACGTTATTGGCAGAGCTTCAATCCATCATCAGGACCGGTAAGTTGCAATCTTTATCGAAATAAAATTGTCGAGAGCAAAGCATAAAACTGCTAGAAGCAAAATCTCCCCCAGAGAAAAGTGCTGTTAGTCGAAGCGGCGAACAGTATCTGGAAAGTTGTAGTCAGAAAAAAGAGGCAAAAACATTTCATGGAGGAAATATCGAACTTGCGACCCTTTGTGCATGAGGCGCGCACTTTCGCACTGCGCCACCTGGCGCCATTGCTTCGTCGCGGCTCACCTGATCGCGTTATCTAGTGCAAAATTCTCGAGTTTGTAACTTCTTTCAAACATGCTTTCCGCAGATAAGGAAAGCAGTTTTGCAGTCAGCATATGCTGCCGATTCTAGCAAGATGGATCTTTCCTTGAGTAACCACTTTGACCAAAAGTACTTTGATAAAAGTAGACCGTTCTCAGACATCGGTCAAATCTTAAGGTAATCCAGTCCATACTTACCATGTCTAGATAAAAAAAATAGTAGAGTTTGAGTGCTTAAAAAAGCAAATCGGGTTAGTCTGACGTCAGCAATTATGGTAATTATCTTGCTACCTAGCCCATTGACTTTTACACATCAACCTACTTAGAAATCAAGATAGCACGAATATCATTCCGTTTAAAATTAATAACCACAACCTTACACGGTTAAACTAATTAAATAACTTCGTTTCAGTCCCACATTTGCGTATTCCCAAACCATCGACGAAGATTCTTCATCTGAAAAGGACAGTACAATCGAAAAAGCTACCGGAAAGAAGATGTTGGCTGTTCTTCCGGAGCGTGACGGTCTCGTACTCGACCCAAGTAACCTCGCCCAACGACTTGGTGCTTCTCTTCGACTCACCCCCGAACAACAAGCCGCAAAAATTCGCCGTATTCTCAGTTTACCTGACCTGAGTAAAATACAAGAGTAACTGAAGAAGTTCTGCTACGGGAATGCGCGGCGGGGTGGGAAATCCAAATCCAGTGATAATTCTCTATTTGTGTTCTGATTATTCTGGACTTCAGCATCTTGTTTTTATTAGGATATTGTTTAGGCTGGGATTTCTTCCTTTCCCAGCAGACCTGTTCACCTCTTTGGCGAACCATGTTTTATGCACTTTTTGGTGAATTTTTTCTGAACACATTATTTTGATGCTACAGTAACGTCTACTGTGTATTATATGTATGTGTGTTTACTATTTCATACTTTATCAGTCATGAGTTAAGGCATGGTGTGTGCCTGTACAATGACCCCCGTGGGTCTGCTTTACTTCCTTTCTGAATCTGTGCAATATTGCGTAATAATAATACTGATGCGGGTCATTTGTAGAATAAAATTTGTGAAGATCGACTTGCTCATGGGATAAGAAATATTCGGCACAGACACCCTGCTTTTCTAATTGGGACGAAATGCGGATTTTGATGAATAGGAGGTCTTCTTCAAAAAAAAGCCAGACTTGTCGTTCAAGCTCATAAATCCTATTTGACCAATATCAAGGGAAGCCGCCAAGCAGGTAAGGACTAGATTTCTGTCACAAAAAGTTCTAAGATATGGGGCTCGATCGTCTCCGACTGGGATTTAGAGTATCTCGAGGACTGGACAGTTTAAGTCTGCCATCATATTATGTGAAAATCTTACCATCAGGTTTATGAACATAATGCGCTTATCCCGAACCATGAAATCTGGTGACTATCAGTGCGAAAGAAGCTGTACATCCCGTTTGTCGGTTTTTCCACAAACAACATCTGGATTCTGAATATTGGCCGAATTTTTTGAAAATTCGCTTTAGCTGAATTGTAAGCTAGACGTAAAATTAGGGATGCTTGATTTATTGTAGGAATTTCACAAAACTTCAACAGGACCTTGATAAGAGCAGAATGTTTTCCAGAAAAGCAGAAAAAAATCTTGATATGCTGTAAAATTCTGCCCAATTGATGAAGAATGAGAAGTATTGCATTTAAGTAAAATATTTCAAGGGTATAATATCGTTTGAGTTTTAGAATTTTACTCTATTGGGAGTGGAGAGGGGGTGGCGAGAACCAAGGCAGAACTTTGTTTGAACCTCTCCCAAATTTAGGTATTCTCCAAGAACTCGATCTCGTAGACTTGTTGAAAAAAGGGAATCATGGGCTTCATGCTTCTTTCGGGCCGATTTGAATCCCAAAAATGAGATCAATTTTATCATTTGAAAGTAGAAACAAACAAATCACTTACACAATTCCTAGCTCATGTAAAGCGCTACGACGGAGTTTGCTAGGCATTCTCCTCCTGAACCTGCAAATCCATATTCCTCTAAAGATTTCCTTCATCATTTCTACCTACTTTTATCATTCATCATTTTTATCTACGTATCCTCCTATGCATTTTCTTCATCTTACTATCAATTTCTATCTCTTACAAAGCAGACGACTTTACCAGATGGCAGAACTATATCACTTCCCACGTATTTGGTAGCAAAGATCATCAACATCATAGGGTCTGATTTTAGGCCTTTGTGGCCCACACGTGACATGTTTTGTTTAACAATGAATCTAAATAACCGAGCATAGCGAATTTGATTGAAACGCTAGACATTACAGTTCCATTGCGCAAACATTCTAGATGGCACTAAACTTGTAAATCATTTCCATAGTGACTATTACGCATAACGAACGTTCCACGAACATTCTTCCTCATTAACAACCCTGTCGTAAGCACATCAACTGGAAAACGGTTGCACGGGGGAACGAGATTGGTTCCTTTCGTTCTGCAAAGAAACGAACGCCATTCGTTCATGAGAGATTCACGTGGAAATTGTTTGTCATCGACATCGCTCTAAGTTTCAGAAAACTGTTGATTTGTGAACATTTATTTGGAGAATGCACTTTTCAGTCTCATTGAAAGGTCTGCTATCCTTTGTGGAAAACAAAAATATTTAGGAATGTCACAAAACATGGCAGAAAACAAATGTATTGTGAAACTGAGTGGCATTATTTCTCGAAGTGACATTATCTGCTCTACTCGCACTAAGGTATGGCCTCAGTTTCCAGTCAACAATGGACTACTATACTTTTTAATTTCATACATTATCCCCACTATTGAATTACGTGGATGTTGTAGCTTTTCCATGAACATTTTTCTGATTTCCAAAAATTTGCCATTTTTGAATTTTCGAGAACTTTTCCGACTTGGCAATACCAACTTGCGTTTGGAATAGCTTCAGCTTCCCAACTTCGTAGTATCAGAGGATGCTTCAGAAAAACTACAAGAAGTGGGGAAACGAAAATGAAGAATGAGGGAATTTTCTAAAGATAGAGAAGAAAATGGAGGATAAACTTAGAGTGCCGCTAAGAATTGCTTCTTTACTGCTGCAACCGGGGTGGCTTTCCGGAAATGCAAAAAAAGAAGTCTTCTTAACACACCTAAAATTTTACGAAGTCCGCTTTGACTCTGAACCACAAACGTAAAAAACCCTAGAAACGAAACGTCTATTAAAAAAACGTCGTGTTTTCTTCCATAAAAACGATATCCAATTTGCTCATAAACCACTAGTGCCGAACCCTGGGAGTAACTCATATACGTAAATGTAAAAAGAAAGCCAACCTTTGTCCATTTATCGTATATTCCAAGTATACTTACCAAATAAGACTTACCAAAGCTTCCAGTTTATTAGAAAACAAAAAAGTGGTAGAAAGTGTAACAACGTACGTAACAATTAATATCTACCCTTCAGTCAATATACTAGTGATTTGGATGCAAGTTTTTAGTCTAATGTAAAAATTCGGGAGAAATTCATAGGTTCCTGTTGAGGTTATAATGTGACTAGATGATTGCACATTTTTGCGTGATTCTATAGAAAGAGTTATTTAGGATGCTTCAGAATTTGCTTCCAAACAGTTTTGAAACTCTTCTTCTCATTCCACATAACTTAATGTTAAATAACGGTCTTTGCCCGTACTCACTTTTAAATAATTTCACTCAGACTTTTCAACGTTCGAGAACCGCGCAGCAGACATCAAGGAGCCGCTTTGGGATAGCGTTAATATGATGAATTTATCTGCTGCAAAGAGGACTTGCGCAATGATTGACTAGATTGTCATCGAGGGAGATGCAAGAAATTTTACGACGTAGATATTTTTGGTCGGGAGTAGGTTTGGAGAAGAAATATTAGCGCTGGTCCATAAAACACTTTAGCTGCGTTAGAGAAATTTCAAGGCAGTGGGTACCAGGATTCTTTCGAGAGGGGGAGAGGCAACAAAAAATGTTTCTGCTGGTATGCTTCCCAAAATTTTCGTGGCATAAAGTTGACTTGAATTTTTAAAAGTCTTCAGAAAATATTTTAATTATTTGCAAGTATGATCAAGTCAGTTGCAGATATTTATAACTCATGTAAGTTAATTACAGAAACTCCTCGTCTCCTCCCCCCCCCCCCCTCCTCTCTGCCATCCCCCTCTGTACGCCACTGTTTTAAGAGAATATAATTTGGTGAATCCATTCCAGTATTTTAAGTCATACAGATAAAATTGATTTGATTTTGCTAGTGAAAGGTTCAAACAGCCACGATCTCTAGAAGAAGCTTTGTGTTTTTTGCAGGTATATTTGTTCGCAAATTTCGGAAAACTTATTGACAGAAAAAAAAGAATTGTTGAGAGTTTAAATATGAACAATTCGTTGAAGCGGTGTTTTAGCATTTTAAACACGCAGTGAGAGCTTGTGTTCTCTACCGAGAGGGAACTTACAGTTGAGAGAGTTGAGAGTTTAGCTGAGATGATATATGCTTGCTGGGATAAAGAAGGGCAAAGTATTAACAAATTCTGATAATGCCCAAAATTTTTAAACGCAGATTTTCCCGGCTATCAATCTTTATTAAGCATGTTAAGTTAATCTTCAGTTTTTGCAATTGTATGCCTTTTGGTTACATATCCAAAAAATAACCAAGCCAGAGCTTCTTCGACCAGCACTTTCGTAACAATGAGGTCATTGGGCTTTACGGCTTCTCTCACGGTGATTACTGCAAAACAAATTGTCGGACTAGTTCCATGTTTTCTTATTGCTTAGATGTTTACCGAAGTTTCACGGCCAATGGTTGTAGCGACAACAGAGACAATAGCAACGACGCGCAAATATTATGAATTCCTTGTTAGATCTCCGTAGAAGTCGTTGTCATTAAGGGAGAAACGTGCGTTGTCTCTCGTCATCGACAGACAGAAACCGGCTCTAACATGGTGCTGCCGTATGGGGACGTTTTTACAGTCCACGATGGTCGAGAACCATATCTGTGTTTGGGTGCGAGAAGTTGAAAGGTCTCCTCAGCATCTCGTATAATCCAGATCTTGCAGCTTCGTTCGGTAGTGCATGGTCTTCAATAAGTTTGCATGGATGCATTTCATCGTAGTCCGCAGTGAAAATAAGATACTCGCAGGTTTTTTTTTGAAAAAGTGATATTTTAATTTCGCGTTTGTCTCGCAGATAGATACCGCTGTGTATAAATGCCCCAACTTCAAATTAACCACGTTGCAATATTATGAGCCTTAAAAAAGTTCTCGGGTACTTGCTAAAATTATTCTATTATACAGAGGCCAAGCTTCCGTTGGCATCTGGTATAGTGATGATTGGCTTGACATTGCAGGCAATAATTTAGGGTTTGATTCCTGTCGCGGCAACTTTTTTGCATTTTTCAAACACTCACTTTTACCCTGAGCCAAACACGCATCTGGGCAAAACAATATATTGTGCCAAAATTCATTATATACTTCAGTATACGACTTGTTTGTAGGAAAAAGCAAGTTAGGGGAAAATCCAAAATGTTGGCGGCAACAGAGTTGAACCCTGTTTTGTGCCTGAAAACCAAGCTACTAACCGCCATACCAAATAGTTACAGCAGCGCTGCTTAGGGCCTTTGTATAGGAGATGCCAACTCTTGGAGAAAAAAGGCTCTACCTCCTTTCAAAGAAATGCTTTGCAGACAACGAAGGTAGATTTGAGACCAGCGTTTCGAGAGCCACTAATCCACACACATCTCTTCCCATATTACCACTTCAAGTAATTCTCTTGTTAGCGCTCATTCGTCTGAAAAGCCTAGTCTCTACTTTCCTTACAAACTTGAGCTACTGCGGACCCAGCACTAACGGACCAAGAAGAGAAAACTCTTAGACTGAGTTTGCCAAGGCACCGTCTTTTGCGTTTTTCTCTGAATTATGTGTGTTTTTTTAGGTAGGACTGGTACATAACACCTAACCGCGCGAACCAAGAACAGGGAGACTTTCTGACATAAGCATAACGAATGACCGAGCTAGGGTTGAGAGAAGTACCTTTTATTTATTTATTACTTTATGCACA